CACAAGTTCGATGAAGATGTTAAGATGATGAAAATCATGAACGCTAATCACTACCGTTTCTCTATTTCTTGGTCTCGTCTTTTCCCAGACGGTCAAGCTAGAAAGGTTGATGGTAAGTGGAATGTTAATGAAGCTGGTGCTGAATACTATGATATGGTTATCAACACCCTTATTGAAAACGATATTACTCCACTCGCTACTCTTTACCACTGGGATCTTCCATATGCTCTTCATGAAAAGTATGGTGGTTGGTTAGATTACCACTCCCAATTCGATTTCGCTAGCTACGCCGAATTCTGTTTCGAACGTTACGGTGATCGTGTTAAGGGATGGATTACTATTAACGAACCATGGGTTAACTGTGTTGGTGGTTACAAGAATGGACCAGGTAAGGCTCCATACAGATGTACTGGTGAAGCCCCACGTAAGCTTGCTAATGACACCACTGGTCTTGATTTAGAAGGAGGTTGTTCTTACGAAATTGGTCCATCTCAATACAGTAAGGATTCCGAAGTTCTTCCAGCCAATCGTCCACCACAAAAGTTAGAAGATGTCTGGTGTTCACACAACATTCTTCTTGGTCACGCTCAAGCTGTTAAGGTTTACCGTGACAAATTCCAAAAGGAACAAAAGGGTCTTATTGGTATTACTATTGATGGTGAAGCTCAAATTCCATGGGAAGAAGCTGGTATGAGTGAAGAAGAATACGAAAACAACAAGAAGTACGCTAACTTAGCTGCTGAATTCCGTATTGGTTGGTACTCAGACCCACCACTTACTGGTGACTATCCAAAGTCCGTTAAGGAAAGAATGGGTAAGGACTTACCAGAATTCACTGAAGAAGAAAAGAAGTTATTAAAGGGATCATCATCTGATTTCTTAGGTTGGAACACCTACACTTCTCACTGGGCTGCTCAACTTAAGGATGAAGATGGTAATCTTATTCCACCACCAACCGCTGAAGAAGCCAGTTACGATAACTCCAAGAAGGATATGTGGGATGATAACTGTAAGGGACGTGGAGAAGGATGGACTTGTATTCCACCAACTCTTGGTTCTCAAGCTGGTTCATCCTGGAACACTTTATATGGTCCAACTATTCGTGTTGGTCTTAACTGGTTCGCTGACCGTTACAAGGGATTAATTAAGAACGGTATTATTATTACTGAAAACGGTTGTGCCCAACCAAACTACAAGGTTTCTCGTGCTAAGGATCAAGTTACTCTTGATCACTGGAAGTCTATTGGTAAGGAAGAATACGCAGGTTGGTATGAAGAAGATATTATTGAAGATGAATCCAACATTGAAGGTACTATTCTTCATGATACTTACAGAATTGACTGGTACAAGCAATACCTTGAAAACCTTCGTCTTGCTTATGTCGAAGATGGTGTTGATGTTCGTGGTTACATGGCCTGGTCTTTAATTGATAACTTCGAATGGGAAAATGGTTATGAAACTCGTTTCGGTATGACCTACATTGACTTCTACAATGACAAGGAATTAAAGCGTGTTCCAAAGGATTCTCTTACTTTCCTTGGTCAATGGTACTTAGACAATGTTGAACAAGAATAAGCGATTTAAAATAATTGAG